CAGCATAATTACAGTGTGAATAAAGAAGCTCCCTTGGACCTCTGAAGTCTCTGAAGCCCTGGGCCTGCAACGTTTATCACAGCATCTATCTCCTCCCACCTAGGCCTGCATGGACAATGGTAATGGGAAGAGAAGCATGGGTGTGTCATTTGGCAGACTGGAAACAACAAAGGAAAATGAAAGAAACAAAGGTAGTAACAAGAGAAAGTGAAGAAAAGAAGGAATGGTAAAATAAAAAGTAAATAAAATGGAAAGCAATGAAAAATAAAGAAATGTATTGGTTAAAAATTGGGTGTATACTACATCCTTGTGCATAGGTACAAAATCAAGTAAAAGAACAAGCACATACAGGTGATTCATTCTTCAGTCAGTCAGTCTCACACAACTGGGACAGAAATATACACAGGAAACCACAATAAACATCATGTGTGGTCCACTCCTACCTCTGACCATTCACAACTGGAAAGTTCCTAAGTCACAGACTCACCCCCAACCACAGGTCTTCCCTGGAAATACTATCCCAGTGCTCTCTGGTGCCCCCAACTCCTGAACTCCTCATTCCTCCTCAGATGAACTTGACCTTTTCACTTACTGTGGAACTATGCTTTGGACAAAAGCAATGGCTGCAAAAGAACTATGACTTCATTTGCAAATCCAGGCAATCCTGCATTTAGTAGCAAGACACTTATCGGTGGATGAGAGGAATTTAGACTTTCATATCAGGAAAATCTGAAGTCTGTGGGCATCAAGATGGCTCGTGTCTGTAACCTAAGTCCTCTGGAAGTTGAAACAGAAAGATATCTATGAGACTCAGCCACTCGAGGAACGAGGGTACAGCTCATGGCAGGGCTGACCAGGAATGAGTACAGCTCATGGCAGGGCTGACCAGCCTCGGTACAATCCTCAGCATCACTTAACATGAATTTTCTTCAGTAACACTGTGGAGTGGGGCTTAAATATTATCTCAGTGTACACAGATCTAAAGAGAAGTGAGGTCTGCATGGTTCTTTTTTCCACTGTTGGTAATTTTACAAAATTGGGAACTCAAACTCATCGCTTTCTTTTAATTATTTATTTACTTATTCATTTATTTATTTTTGACACAAGGGCCTCTGGCATTTAGGCTGGCTTAGAATTACATAGACTATGTTGGTTTAAAAATTGCAACAAGTGTCATGACACAGCCTCCAAGTGTTGGGATTACACATGTGCACCACACCCAGCTTCTTGTATTATTTGGAAGAGAGGGTCTTGTTTATCCACTAAATTGTTCAGGCTGGACATGTTCCTGTGATCAACCTGCATCACGCTTGCACAATGCTTGGACTACTTGTATAGGCCCTACCTCTTTTGCTTTGTTCTGCTTTCTGAGGAGAGGACACCATTTGTCACACAGGCTTAGCCACTGCTCCAGCCCTGCAAGCAGGTTGGACAGAAGCCACCACAACAGCACTCTATCACAGTACACTGACTTCAATTCTGGAAAAGTCAAATGTGGATGCTGCCAAATATCCCTTTACAGAGACCACCCCTGCCCAGTCAGGAGCACTTTAAATTCTTTTCTCTTTCACCCTCACACTTGTGATGGCCACATGTCTCAATATCCCCGTGAATCTTCCTATATTGTCCTGTGGTGCTTTTAGAAGTTGAAGACAGCTGTGGGCATGATTCTGCCCACTGGATTAATTCATTGATTTTGAAATGGTGATGCTGAAAGGAACAGCCCTGAAACAGTGTGTCTTCCTCTAGGGCTTGGGCTACAAGACTCGGTCTCCCTCTTCTGGTAATCTTTCTGCTTCCCAATACCAGATCATGAGCTGATGACCTCTGCCATATCCCTCTGCCATGACTGCTTATGAGTTCAACTGGCATACAAAGTAACTCTTTCTTCTTTGAAATGGTTAGTGTTGGATATTTTGTAACCCTAACAGAAACAGTAATGAAGAATTGTTTGTCAGTCCTCCACAGAAAATGTTCAAAAAACGAACCTTGCATTCGAAGCAGGTGCATGTCCCTCATCCTCGCCCTTGTGACAATGAGGCTTGAGGATCACCATGAGTTTGCTACCAGCTTAGCTATGTTCTGAGACTCTGTCTAAATATAAATGGAAACGTAGATGCTCAAATAAATGAATACTTGTGTCAAATCTAAAATCACTCATGACATGATTTTACATTTTATTTACTCAAGTTTTTTATTATTTATTAGTAGGTATTCCCTGCATGAAAATTGTAGTCATTCTACATATGGATTACATTTTTTCCTTTTTGTAACCACACGAATTAAATTAAGTACCATCACACTTAGCCAACTCTCCACCCCTTTTATTATTTTTTATTTTTTGATTTTTTATGTTATATTATTCCAGTGCTTAATGTTCACTTTCATTATATTTCTACACGAAAATAATATATCTTCACTATATTCATGCTGAATCTGAAACTAAGGCTGGCCTGGAATTCACTCTGTAGGCCAGGCTGGCATTGAACCATTCTCACTCACCTGTGGCAGCTTTTCCCTTGCTGACATTAAAGGTGTGAACCACCACTACCAGGTGTCTGTGGTTAGGATTAAACATTCAAATGTGTAAGAAAGAAAACAGGAATTAGGGCCTAGTTAAAGTGATCACATTAAATTGTTGATGTTCACTCTGTGCTGCACATCAGATAACTTCCCAATGAAACATGCATGAACAACAATATAGTTCTTCTCTCCAGGGATCCAACCCTCCAAGTGAGGATCAGGGAAGAGTGTGAAAGAAATGAAAAGAAAATGTGATGAGATCAAGACGTCTGGACTGCTGGTCTAGCAATGAGTTTATTTTGCTTCAAGTTTATGTATATAAAATCTGGATACGAGGCCCAAAATTTGTCCTGGATAACTGAGCTTACTGATTTTATGTGGGCCAAAATAGTTTTACAGGACAAAGCTGAAAAACAGAAGAAACACTGAGTCTTCCATGGTGCCCATTGTCATGACCATGAAGGAGATAATGAAGCTGGGCAGGGTGCCACATTCCACTTCCCTATGAGACTCATTCTTCAGCAAGGTCCAACAAATTTTGGTGTCTGGCTTCCACGATAATGGAGGAAGTTGTGCCCACCTTTGGAAGAAGTGAGGATTTCCACCAACAGCAGCTATACATGCTTGGAATCCCTGCACTCGGGAAGATAAGGGAGAAGCCTTGCAGTAGGATCAGAAAGAGAACTTACTACCAAGGTGATTCAGGGACAACTTAGGACCAAAGAGATGCAAGGACAGCTGTATTTATACATTAAGACATTTACACAAAAAATAACAGAAATTTCATGTTCTCACATTCAAATCTGATTCACTTTACTTACCAACACAATCTTTAGTGGTATACTTTCTTCAGTTACTCTTGTCTCATTACTGGGACAAATACCCAGTCCTCAAATTGAGGGAAGGAAAAGTTTATTTAGCTCACAGTTACTGGAGGTTTCAGTCCATATTCAGCTGGCTCCAAGGTATACCAGCACATAGCATAAAGCAAACTTTCCTGGAAGTGGCAAAGAGCAAGAGCACAAAAGGAGGAGTAGCAGCATCTTAAGCCAGGAATATCTCTTTACTCCTTACACTGAAAGGAAAATTACCTGACCCATGCCAAGTGTAGCAGCCACATCCACAGTAATCAATCACAAAGTCCAGAATTTGCCCCCATGACTGCCTAAGGCTTTGGGGGAACACCTAGACAAACCTAACAACTTTATCTGAAAAATGACCCTGAAATTATCGTCTCTGTTGTAGCTCAAAAATCAGATGACAACAAGGCAAGTCCAAAAGTTAAAAGAAGTGCTTTATTTTAGCTGGTACTCAGCAGTGGTCTCTATGCAAGGTGCAAAGAGGCATGCTGAGCATTGACAAGGATCAGTATTTAAGCTTGAAAACTGCAAAAACAGGGAAGGGGTGGAGAAGAAGTGGCAGGGTCATTAGTTCATTAGGTGGTCCTACTGGGTTGGGTGCTGGAATCAGCAATCATGGGGTACAGCGGGTAATCAGTTAATGGGGATGGTCCTGTTTGCTGGAGGTGCTGAGTTGGCAGTCATATACAGTTCATTGAGATAAGTTTTCAGATAACAGATATCATAAGATTTGAGTTATAGGGGCAAGGAGTTGGGAGGGGTTGGAGCATACAGAACAGGAACTCGGCGAGGTTAGAAGGGCAACAAAATGGAGTCAATTTTGACAGGGTACAACATTCCCCACTGATTTTAAGGGGGTGAGTCAAATCACTGACTCACTAGGTTGTTATTTATTGGGAATAAGTTCCCAGCCTTAGTTTTGTAACATCATTATTTTAATAGATTATAAGCGAGAGCTTACATTTTGTATTATCTTACTGATTATGCAAGATTCAATGGTGATCAAAACCAATAGAATGACCAAAAGGCCAGCCAAAGCTGACATTAGAGTGGTGAACCATGGGGAAAAATTAAACCATCCTCGAAACCAGTTTTGTTGTGATTGTCCAAGATTTTCTCTATCAGCCTCTGTTTTAAGTCAGACATACTTTGTCTAATAACCCCTGAGTGGTTGGTATATAAGTAACATTTTTCTCCTAATGCTAAGCATATGCCTCCTTCTTTTAAGAAGAGATTTAGACCTCTCCTATGTTGTAAAACCATCTCGGCTAAGGAGCTTAGTGATTCTTCTAGTTGGGTGACTGAATTTTGAAGCAGTGTTAAGTATTTATCTGCTCTGATAACCATCTAAAATTTGAGTCTCCTAATATTAACCCCATTGTCCCTATGGCAGTAGACCTGGCCACTCCAATTCCCAGGAGGAGTGGAACCAGGACAGGAGCAGCTCTAGTATAGCGGGACAACATACCAGTAGTTGGTCCTAAATGTCTAAATCCTTCTTCTCCTGAATACGAATAGGCCTAGGGTAATATTTGTTCTAGGATACAGAGTTCAGGTACACGGGTGTAGTATTGGAGTGAGATACAATGGGTAATGCCTGAAGAGCATGCAAACCAAGCTCCATCTGGAGCTGTAAGGTGTTGATTTTGTGGATAGGTGATGTTCTGGATATATGTCGTGTGGTTAGTATGACAAGAGTCAGCATAAATGTAGCCTGAGAGTTTATAATTGACTGACAGAAAACAAGATCCAGAAATGGGTAGAACAACCCGTAAAGTGAGTAAAGGTCTTTGTTCCCACCATCAACTAGGCTCATCCAGAGAAGTGTTTTGGACCTCAGAGAGGGGAAAGGTGACAGGAGTCCCTGTATAAAAAGTAGGATGAGGGGAGAGGCAAAGCCAGCAATTGACAGTTAGATTAGGGTTAATTTGGTTCAAGTATTGAAAGTTAATATCAAGGGGAGCAAAAGGGCTCATTGGGGTATATGTCTAAGGGTATTGGAGAAGCTGTTTGTGATGCTGAAGCGGGTTGAGAGCTTAAGGGTGGAGATGTCCTGAGGGGTAGTGCTGGAGATTGTGGTGGTGCTAAGGGCTCAATGGGATGAGCCGGTGCAGGTCAGCTCCCAGGGATGAAGTGAATCATAAAAGAATTTCCATGGTCTTGTCCTGACACATATAATCTTATCCCATAGTGTTTTCCCTTACACTATTCAACAGGGTCATGTTTAAAAGTGAATGTCATAAGGTTACATTGATTTAAGGAGCATGTTTTTTGGGGTTTTCTAATTATTTTTATCCAACCATCTGCATTAGAACCATGCCAGGGACTAATAGTTTCACAACTCCACACATAGCAAAAATACTCAGTCTCACTCTACGTACCACAGTCTGTACGAGATTTTTGTTCCTGAGGACAAATATACCATCCAATGTTTTGTAAAGATTTTTGTCTTAGTAGGTTTTTACAATTAAGAACGGATGTATCTGGGTGTAGGATGGGGACCCCATCTGGACCAAGGATACTGTCTTGGAGGGGAACAGTATGGGAACTTAAAAGGGTACATAGATCTATAAAGTTGCATGCACAGTTTCATTTTTAGCAAGCACCTTACCAGTCGTATAATCAGTGATTTGCCAAGTTCCATAAACAGGGGCATGGGGTTGAGATATAGCTTCATTGGGGCATAACAAGCAAGTAGAAAGTAATACTAGCACGAAGATTAAGTACATTTTTTTTCAATTTAACCTTCAAGGGATTGTCTCCCTTAATAATTGTCCACTTACCTTTAGCTGGATGGTCAGTGGATTCGTCTGGGGGTGATATCTTGAAGTTGGTATGATGAATCCAGGTGGACTTCCCAGTGACTTTGATTGCTGTGGGGGTGCTGAGTATCACAGTGTATGGCCCTTCCCACCTTGTCTCTAGTCCTTTTGAATCCAAACGTTAGAGTATCACTTGGCTTCCTGGTTCCACAGCTTGTTGGCAGAGTCCGGAAGCCGGAGGGTCAGGAGCAGGGTGTTGTTGTATAAAAGTCCGGTGGATGGAGGCAAGTTCTGGCTGGAGGGCCTGGAGGGACTTAATGAGATCTTGATTAGTAATCTCAGCAATCTTTTCTTCTGTCAAGTGAGGCAAAAGTGGAGGAGGCCTCCAAACATTGCCTCGAAAGTGGAAATTTCAGAGACATAGGGAGTACATCTGACCCTTAGAAGGGCAAAAAGAAGGAGACTCACCCAGTTCTCGCCAGTCTCCAAAGAGAGTTTAGCTAATATGGACTTTAGAGTCTGATTCATTCTTTCTACGTGGCCTGAGCTCTGGGGCCTATAGGCACAGTGAAGCTTCCAATCAATGTGGAGAGCTTGGGCAAGTTTTTGAGTAACTTGGGCTATGAAAGCCAGACCATTGTCGGATCCCATAGATAAGGGTAGGCCAAATCTAGGAATAATTTCTTGGATCAATGTTCTAACTACAATAAGAGCTGATTCTGAGCAGGTAGGGAAGGCTTCTATGCATGCAGTGCAAGTATCCACCATTACAAGCAAGTACGTGTATCCACTTTGTCCTGGCTTGTTTAATTCTGTAAAGTCAATTTCCCAATGTTCCCCCGGGGTGGTTCCCAGATAACGGAGGGTACTCACCTGCTTGTTGTGTTTTGGGTTTACCTTGAGGCATTGTTCACAGCGTAGGCTAGACAGATGTGCCAGTTTGGTCAAATTTGGGATGAAAAATCGATTACGGAATAGGCTCACTAGCTTTGAGACCACAAGATGGGTAGCCTGATGGGCTTTTTGGATCAGTTCTCTGCCCAAAGCCTCTGGTATGAGGATTCTTTCATCAGGTAACTGATACCACTTGTCTGAGTCTCTCGGTTTAGCATTTCACTGGGCTGCCAGGTGAAGATCACTTGAAGTGTACACAGGGCCAGAGATGGTGGGAGGCATGAGGAGTAAGGTTTTCTTTTCTTCTATTACCCACTGATTTTAAGGCAGGCTCTTGGGCTGTCTGGTCTGCGAGACAATTTCCTCTAGTTATCAGGTCTGAGCCTGTGGTATGTGCCTTGCAATGCATAACAGATACCTTTAGTGGAAACCGAATGGTAGCCAGTGGGTCTAGAATTTGGGCGGAATTTTTAATCTTTTGTCTATTAGAAGTCAGTAGACCGCTTTCTTGATAAATCATCCCATGTACATGAAGAGTGGCAAATGCATATCTACTGTCCGTGTAGATATTGATCTTTTTGTCTTAACGTAGACAAAATGCCTGGGTTAGGGCTATTAATTCAGCCTTTTGTGCAGAAGTACCAGAGTTCAATTGGTGAGACCATAACTCTTGATCTTGGGTGACCACAGAAGCCCCTGCCACCCGCTTACCTTCATGAATGTAACTACTTCCATCTGTGAAGAGGACCAGGTCAGCGTCAGGCAAGGGGATGTCAGTCAGATCTTCTCGAAGCCCCATGATTTTTTCAATGGTGGAGAGGCAGTCGTGGAGTGGTAGGGTGGGATAATTATCTGGCAGAAGAGTTGCCAGATTTAGAGTGGAAGCTTCTTTAAATTGGACTGAGGCAGGGTCCAACAGAAGCTCTTGGTAGTGGATGATACGAGCATTGGTCATCCATTTATCAGGAGGTGTTTTTATTAAGGTCTCTAATGCATGAGGCGAGACCACCCTAATGAGCTGTCCAAAAGTTAACTTTTTTCCATCCTGTACTAGTAGGGCCATAGCAGCAATCATTCGAAGGCATGCAGGCCATCCAGAATTCACAGGGTTTAGTCTCTTGGACAAATAGGTGATGGGCCGATCCCAAGGACCTAATTTCTGGGTGAGGATGCCTTTTGCAATGCCCCTCTTTTCATCTACAAACAGAGTAAATGGTTTCTGTAAGTCCAGCAATGCCAAGGCAGTGGCCTCAGTTAGAGCATTTTATGGTTAGTAAAAGCAGTATCTTGTTTGGTCCCCACTCAAGGAGGTCTTGGGTAGTTCCAGTCAAAGTCTCATATAAGGGTTGTGCTAGTTCTCTAAAATGAATGATCCAAAGGCGGCAATATCCCACAGCCTCCCAAAATTCTCACACCTGCCGCTTGTTGGCATGGGTGGGAATCTGCAGAATAGCATGAACCCGAGATGGTGAGAGGGTGTGTTTTCCCTTGTGAATCTGATAACCTAAGTAAGTAACCTGTTTACGGCACAGTTGGGCCTTTTTGGCTGAAACCTGGTACCCAAGATCTGAGAGAGTTTCTAATAAGGCTTGGGTGCCCAAGACACAGGACTCACATTTCTCCGTAGCCAACAGAAGGTCATCAACATATTGGAGCAACGTCAGTCCTGGAGGATCCTCCCAAAAGGGGAGGAGGTCTTGGGAAGCCTCACCAAAGAGAGTGGGGCATTTTTCAAACCCTGGGAAGTCGAGTCCAAGTCAGTTTTTCTGAGACTCCTGAAAAGGGGTCTGTCCATTCAAAGGCAAATAAGGGTTGACTCACTGGGGCGATCGGTAAGCTGAAGAAGGCATCTTTTAAGTCCAATACTGTGTACCAGATGTGATGTGGTGGCAGAAGGATTAGGAGGGTGTAGGAGTTGGGCACCGTGGGATATAAGGTGACCACCCTTTTATTTCCCTCTCATAAATCCTGGACCAGTCCGTAATCCTGGGTGCCTGGTTTTTGTCCTGGAAGCAAGGGGGCATTCCAAGGAGAAATACATGATTTTAAAATGTCCTGTTGTTTGAATCGCAAGATGTGGGTGGCGATTCCCTTGCGCGCTGCCAGGCTAATTGTGTATTGTTTCAAGTTAATCGGAGTGGCATCTGGAATTAACTCTATCACCAAGGGAGCTTGATTTTTGGCCAACCCAGGGGTGTTATGTTCTGCCTGTAAGGGTCGAGTTGCTGTGAAGGAAGGCCCCAAGAGTCGATCTCTCATGTAAATCACAAAGGGCAAGCTTTATTGTCTACGTGCATGCAGGGCGGCCTGAACACGCAGGAACAGAGCGCACCGAGCTGACCGTGGGCTGTGTTTTTAAGTCCAGAGACAAAGGGAGGAGGGATTTAGCAAGCGGGGTTACAGAAGTGAATGGCATTGGTTAGTTTGGGTTGGTTCTTAAAATAATTGGTGGGTTTGAGAATATATGACCTTTCGAGGGGCAGGCTACAGGGCAACTAAATAGTTAACACAGTGGTTTCAGGTGCATTCCGAGAACTGGTGGGTTTATCTATGTAAGGTGTCCTATTTCACAAGGATGCCCCCAGGTTGGAGATTAAATGTTTACCTAAGCCAGGCCTGAGGCTTTATGACTCCACCTGGGTTCCAAGATAAGGGTTACTTAAGCCTTTTGGTCAAGGACTAGTGGGAGGTCCCTTGTGACCAGAGTTTGCACTTTAAAAATTCTTTGGGCCTTACATTCCCCCCCTTTTCGTGTTGAGAATCTCTAACCTTAGAGATCAGAATTGTTAATAGCTAAGGCCTCATATTGTTGCCGAATGATCATCAGTTTAACATTACCAATTTGATTGTGGATGAAATCTATGATTCTATTAATTATACAGGGCCCAATAGTCACTGCGAGGAGCAGAAGTATCAGTGGTCCTGTCAAGGCATTTAATAAGGTAGTCAACCATGGGGAACGGTTAAACCAAGATTGAAAAATACCTTGTTGAGTTTAGCATTCTTTCTGTCTTTGTCCTAGTCCTTTTTTAAGCTCAGCCATTGATTTTTTTATTACTCCAGTATGGTCGGCATAAAAGCAACTTTTTTTTAGGGCTGCGCATAAGCCTCCTTCTTTTAGTAGTAGTAGGTTTAATCCTCTACGATTTTGTAAAACCATTTTTGCTAGTGAACCGAGGGATTTTTTTTAACTTAGACACTGAGTCTTGTAAATTGGACAAGTCCTTGTCAGCTTGTTCACTAAGCCATCTAAAGTTTTGGTCTCCAACCACTAAACCTGAAATACCTAGACCCATGGATCCAGCAACTCTGAAACCAAGCAACATGGGCACAAACACAGGATTAGCTCTAGAGAATCGACCCCTGTTTTTAAATGTCTGAGTCCCTCTTCTAAGGAGTACCAGTATATAGAGCAGGACTGGGGGAAAGTCAGAACCAAAGAAACAAACACATAATAATATCAACAGGATACAGTAACCATTTAGCAGGTCTGGAATACAATAACCTTTTGAAGTTTGTAATTATAAAAAAAACACTAGTCAGATCATTTTGTAGGTCTATTAACAGAGATCTCTTAAATGTGAGGTTTATTCTCTTTATCTTTCATGGCCACTGGGTATTGTCTCAAACTGGCCTATTCTTGTGTTTTACCAACTTTACCATTACTGGGGGCACATGAATTGTCAGACCTAGGGAAAGTACTGAGTACTCTCCAGTTTGTAAGTGGAGTTATTGGCTGGGTATCTACTGATGAATCTGTACAAGCGTCTATTAAAAGTTTAACAGGCTTTTCTTTCTTTTTAATATATATATAGGCATTTAACATGGGTTCCCTTAGACTGAGAGGGAAGACACATGACCACCTCAATCTGAAACTTCCTCTGACTCCATCATAAACACTTTCTTTTTCCTTCTCTAGTAGCTGTGGACATTTTTTGTTTGAAATGTCCCTTCTTGCTGTCTGGGTCCAGGGAAGTGTAACTTTTTTCTTTTTCCTGACTGGCCTTCTTTTCTGTAGGCTACTAGTATCAACACTCTCATTTTTCATCCATAATTCCATTCTGTATCCTTTCTACTATGAAACACCTCAACTCAGACAAATTTATTCCTGCAAAACCTAACTTCTGCAACTTGTGTCAGATATCTGGGGTCCACTGTATAAGGTACAACTTTTTGGTTCCTGTAGGTTGTCTTGTCCAAGGAACACGAATATAGCTTTCCTCATAATGAGGCAGGAAACCCAGAGGAGGCTCAGATCACCTGGGCTCTATCAGGTGGACAATTAGATTAGGCTTTAATACATGTTTCTATAGACAAAATGTGGTGGATCCCAGCAAAAGGAATCGTAATCTAGCATATTCGTTAACAGATTTTTCCCTCATGATTACTTGGGCTTTAGTATCTTTTAGGACAGAACAAATTTTCTGAGCAATTAGAACATATATAATCAAAGCATG